TCAAAGTGTATAACGTTGCATAAGAAATTCTGTATCCATGAAAAGCTTCCTTCGCTTGCCTGAAAATTCTTGATAAATATAAAACTCGTTTACTGCCCAAAAAAATTCCTTGGTCAAAATTGGAGTTATTCGCCTTTTGCATGCCTTGAAAGCTTTTAGGAAAATAATCATAAAATTTCAAAAATAAATTCAGGAGCTTCAGTCTAAGAGAGCTATGTCGCAACAGGAATGCAGATGATTTTTGTGGAGAATTAGTTGTAAAATTCAGAAAACCAAAGAAATTAAATTCAATTTCAAAAATTCAAAGTTCGCTTTTGCGGTCGCATGAAAACTTCAACCTGCACTATTCCAAATAAAGGCTGACTAAGTTTCTTTTTTTCCCGAACTCAGAAAAACCTCAGAAATCGATAATTTTGGCAGTAAATTCTATGTGACTTAAATGAACAAGTCTCCCATTACAAATGTTGCACCTGGTTAATTCACCGATTTGGGTTTCGCAAAACTTGAAGCATAGGCTAGATATATCATGGCTTTGGTTACTTCTACTAATGAGAGAAAGGATAGATCTTCACTTAACAGAGTCTGAGTAACTCAATATCCCCGGACACTGTCTGTAACTTACTGCACACTAATACATTGAAGATTGAGGAATATAAGGTCAAAAGAGGGAAGGAATAGCCTTTTCTTAGTACATAAGAACTTCGAATGGTAGGAAGTTTGATGAGGATTTTTTCCGGAGAAATGGAGAGGTGTATTTTTCGGAAGATAGAAAAACCGCCACAAGGTGTGAAGAGTAATTGCTGAATTTGCCCTATAACTATTTTTTCCAAAGCAGTTGATGTGTCTAAGAACATCGAAAGGCAAACATCGAGAATAATGGGTACTATAATTTAGAGCTGAACTTTTTTTTTAAATCTTCGCATTTTCCCGCTTACCAGGGTCTGCTGTACGAGTCAACTGTCTCCAGTATTCTCGATTTAAGGCATGATGTTCGTCTATTCTAAG